GGCTCAGGCAATCCACTCACCTCAGCCTCCCAAAGGCGCAGGATTACAGGCTGAGCCACCGGAGCCTAGCTGACAACTGATTTTCTTGTGTGTTTTTTAAAGTTCTTTAACCCTTTGTACTTGGAGACATCTCATGGATCACCTACCAGCAACTCGACTAGACTTTTTTTTTTTATTTTTTTTTAGTTGGAGTCTCACTCTGTTGCTCAGGCTGGAGTGCAGTAGCACACTCATGGTCACCCTAGCATCGACCTGCTAGGCTTCGGCGATCTTCCGCCTCAGCTTTCCCAGTAGCCAGAACTACAGGCGCGTGCTACCATGCCCGGCTAATTTTTGATTTATTGTAGATATGAGGTCTTGCCAAGTTGTCCAGGCTGGTCTTGAACCTGCGGGCTCAGGCAATCCACTCGCCTCGGCCTCCCTAGGTGCTGGGATTACAGGCTGAGCCACCGAGCCCAACCTCGACCACATTTTTACAGCAAAGGATTAATCTCCTAGGACTTCATTTTGTCTACGAAATGGGGATTACAGTATCTATTGTCAATAGATATCTAATATTCCCTTAGAAATACCTTCTTACGTCATTAATGTTTGCAGTAATAACATGATTAAGAGGATCAAAAGAGAATGTATGTAAAATACTCAATATTAGTCTTTCTTCAGACCTTCTACCCCAGCACTAAAACAACAGCAATAATAATTCTTTTGTGCTGGCTCGGTGGCTCAGCCTGTAATCCTGCACTTTGGGAGGCTGAGGTGAGTGGATTGCCTGAGCCTGTGGGTTCGAGACCCGTCTGGGCAACTTGGCGAGACCTCATCTCTACAATAAATCAAAAAATGAGCCGGGCGTGGTAGCACACGCCTGTAGTTCCAGCTACTTGGAAGGCTGAGGCAGAAGGATCGCCGGAGCCCAGCAGGTCGAGGCTGCGGTGGCCGGGAGCAGCCACTGCACTCCAGTCTGGGCAACAGAGTGAGACTCCAACTCAAAAAAAATAAATAAATACAAATAAATAATTCTTTTGTAACTTGAGAACTTATAATTTATGTACTGTTTAAATATATGATTCAGTGTTTACATGTTGGAGTTTTATTTTTTTAATTAAATTATTTATCTGATTTTAACTTTAAATCTGGTTCTCATAGGCATTTATTTACATAACAGGACCCTGATCTGTACAACTATTTAATTAGCTCTTATTTTAATTTAATTACTGCTTTGTTAATCATCATAAACATTTATCTACTTTAAACCCTTTCATAGCAGTTAAAAACTTTTGTTCTTGACAATAATTCATCCCCTTAAACTTTTCCTCTTAAGTTTTTCTTTTTTTTTGAGCTGGAGTCTCACTCTGTCACCCAGGCTGGAGTGCAGTAGCATGCTCACGGCCACCACAGCCTCTACCTGCTGGGCTCAGGTGATCCTTCCACCTCAGCCTTCCAAGTAGCTGGAACTATAGACAGGTGCCACCTCACTCAGCTAATTTTTTTATTTATTGTAGAGACGAGGTCTCGCCAAGTTGCCCAGACTGGTCTCGAATCCCTGGGCTCAGGCAATCCTCTCTCCTCGGCCTCCCAAAAGTGCTGGTATTACAGGCATGAGTAACTGTAGCAGCTTTACTTTTTTGTTTTATTTTGTTCTATTATGACCACTTATGTTTACACCAGCACTAAACAACTGTTTTCTGCCATAAAATCAACTTATAATCTGAAAACAACTGCCCTTACAAATTAAAAAATGTTGTGTCCGTGCTACAATAAAGTCTCTACTACTTCCATAATCATGCAGTAAAATAATTTTTTTGTTTTATAGTTATATCTTTGTGATATTTTAGTGTCTTGAGAATTACACATTTCTTTAACTGAAGGGTACCTTTGAGAAATGATGGGATTGTATACTTTCATTTTATTTTTATTTATTTATTTATTTTTTGAGTTGGAGTCTCACTCTGTCACCCTGACTGGAGTGCAGTGGCCGCTCCCAGCCACCGCAGCCTCGACCTGCTGGGCTCCAGCGATCCTTCCGCCTCAGCCTTCCCAGTAACCAGAACTATAGGCACGCACTACCACACCCGGCTAATTTTTTGATTTATTGTAGAGATGAGGTCTCGCCAAGTTGCCCAGGCGGGTCTCAAACCCGCAGGCTCAGGCAATTCACTCACCTCAGCCTCCCAAGGCATGGGATTACAGGCTGAGCCACCAAGCCCGGCTTACTTTCATTTTATAGTTGAGGAAAATGAAAGACAGAGGGGATAGTGACTTGTGTAAGGTCACATATTTATTGATAGAGTTGGAACCAAAATCCTGATTTCCATATTGTAACACAGGCTTCTTTCCATCATGCCACTTTAGGGGCCAGACTGATATGAATTTTTGTTACATTCTTTCCTTTGTCAAGGGTGTTACCTTACAAAGGCCTAATTTGGAGAGCAGTTAATTTCAAAATTAACATCAGTATTGCACAGAGGTATTGCTTATTGGCTTACAGGGAGGTTAGTATGTATCTTAAACTTGCTCTCTTGTTGTTTAGGATAGTGAACGAGAGTCGTCAGGTACTCCAGGAACCTGATTTTGCTCAGTCTCTCCTGAGGGATCCAAATACTCCTGTCATAAGAAAGTCAAGGGGAACTTCCACTCAAGGAACATCCACACATGCTTCTTCAACTCAGCTGGCTATGGTGGATGACCAAAGAAGCAAAGCAGGGAGTGTCCACAGCAAAGTGAGCAGCTACCACGGCAGCCTCCACAGGTCACGTGATGGCAGGTGAGTCTCCTTAAGAGCTTGGTCTATTTCATAAGCTAAATCATGCTCAGACAGTTTCAGAAAGAGAGTAGCCAGTTCTGAAATAGAAGTTGTACATTATTAAGCCTTCGAACTTTGTCAGAGTATGGTCACACTTAGAGCCAGACAGAGGAGTTTAAAATTTAAATTTGATGCAGTAAGAAAGGTGGGATTTAGCTGGAAGTGATGGCTTGTGCCTGTAATCCCAGCACTTTCGGAGGCAGACGTGAGAGGATTGCCTGAGCCCATGGGTTTGAGACCAGCCCATGGCACCTTGATGAGACCTCGTCTCTATAGTAAATAAAAAAATTAGCCGGGTGTGGTGGTGCATGTCTGTAGTTCCAGCAACTTGGAAAGCTGAGGAGGAAGGTTCACCTGAGCCCAGCAGGTCAAGACTGTGGTAGCCGTGAGCGTGTCACTGCACTCCAGCCTGGGTGACAGAGCGAGACTCAAAAAAAAAGAAAGAAAGAAGGAAATGTGGGATTTACTGTAAGAATTGGGCAGCAAGAGTACAGTGTGAAAGTGGTTATTTTATTAAGATTAATTTCTTTTTTTTTCGCTTTTAGTTTTTTTATTTTAAAGATGTGGGTACAATTCAAGGTTAGGTATACAAATGTTCATTATGCAGGTACCCTTGTTGATGAGGTGTGCCCTCCCCTCCCCCTGCAGATTCCTACTACTGTCAGTCCTGCCTCCCCCGCCCCCCGCAGTTTCCTGCTACTGCCATAAGATTAATTTCATAAACAATTAAGGAATAACTACTACATCAGACACTGTGTGAGGCCCAGGGCGTACAAAGATGACTTAGGCATTATCTTTGCTTTTCACTCTATTTAGAAAGGTAATGTAGTGTTGCAGTTTAGAAAGTAGATCTAGAATAATAAGCCTCAGTTTCCTTATCTGTAAATGAAAATAGTAATAATATCTGCCCTTTAGTAAAAATTAAATGAGATTACATACCTAGTTCCTTGGAACAGTGCCTGTCTCAGTAAGTTCCAGATACCAGCTTCTATTATTACTGTAAGTGAACAATGAAAGTAAAACTTAAATACAATAGTATAGTGCAGGAATTGGCAAACTCTTTCCATCAAGCACCAGATAGTAAATATTTTATTCCTATGGTTTCTGTTGCAACTGTTCAAGTCTGTTGTAGCATGAAAGCAGTCATAGACAATATGTAGTCAAATATTTCAATGACGCTTTATTTACAAAAACAGGAGGGGGTAAGATTTGGCCAGTAGGCCATAGCTTGCCAGCTTCTGTTTACTGGGTACACTAGTAACATAGAGGATAGAGTGATTAGTTCTGGTGATGGAGGGGAAGGATTGGTTACCAAAAAAGCTTCACAGAAGCAATGTTTGAGAGAAGCCTGGCTGTGGGTTCCTTGTTTAATCTGAAGAGGAAGTCACTACAATTAGAAACTGCTTAGGAACTTTGCAGTAATTCAGGTGAGAGATGATAAAGGCTTATAGGTGAGTAGTGGCAGTGGGAAGAGAAGACTAGCTGAACTGAAAGAATTTAGAAGGAAGATAGATAGGAGTTAGTGATAAATTAATATTAGCAGCTGGAGAAAAGAGAGATCCCAGAGATTTTCTTTTCTTTCTTTTTCCACATTTTAGATTTCTAGTTTGGTAAATTGAAAGAATGAAAATTCTCATACCTAAATCAAGAGCATTCTATATTCACTCAAAAACATCTCTGTTTCTACAACTGTTTTCTATCCTGTCATTCTCAGTCTTCTCCCTGTCCACCTAATATAGAATGTGATTCCTTAATACTCTATAGTTTCTTTTTTTTACTTTGTTCTTTCTTCTCAACTTGCTTTCTTCTAACTTGGCCATCTACCCTGTGTTTTTGTTGTTGTTGTTTTTTTTTTGAGTTGGAGTCTCACTCTGTCGCCCAGATTGGAGTGCACTGGCCACTCCCGGCCACCACAACCTCGACCTGCTGGGCTCCGGCGATCCTTCTGCCTCACCCTTCCAAGTAGCCGGAATTACAGGCACGCGCTACCATGCCCGGCTGATTTTTTGATTTGTTGTAGAGATGAGATCTCGCTGCCCAGACGGGTCTTGAACCCACGGGCTCAGGCAATCCACTCACCTCAGCCTCCCAAAGCGCGGGATTACAGGCTGAGCCACTGAGCCCGGCTACCCTGTGTTTAAAAGAGCAGCAGTCTTAGGCCAGGCACAGTGGCTGAAGCTTGTAATCCCAGCACTTTGAGAGGCCGAGGTGAGAGGATTGCCTGTGTCCAGGGGCTCAAGACCTGCCTGGGCAACTTGTTCTCTACAGTAAATAAAAAAATTAGCTGGGCATGGTGGCGCATACCTGTGGTTTCAGTTACTTGGAAGGCTGAGGTAGGAGGATCACCTGAACCCAGCAGGTTGATGCTATGGTGACCATGAGTGTGTCACTATACTCCAGCCTGGGCAACAAAGTGAGACTCCTGCTCAAAAATAAAAAATAAAAAATAGGCCTAACTCGGTGGCTCAGCCTGTAATCCCAGCACTTTGGGAGGCTGAGACCAGTGGATTGCCTGAGCACATGGGTTCGAGACCAGCCCAGGCAACTTGGCGAGACCTCGTTTCTATAATAAATTAAAAATTAGCTGGGCGCAGTAGCACACACCTGTAGTTCTGGCTGCTTGGAAGGCTGAGGCAGAAGGATTGCCGAAGTCCAGCGGCTCAACACTGGGTGGCAGGGAGTGTGCCATTGCACTCCAGCCTGGGCGATGGGGTGAGACTCCAACTCAAAAGAATAAAATTAAAAACATAAAAGAGCAGCAATCTTTCTTTGAGTCTGATATAGATTTTTATTCATTCTTTTTTTCTTTCCTTGCCAGATTTTTGAAATGAATATTTCAAATTGTTCTATTCTATTTATTCCATCCTTATTCCTTGTTAAATGTAGTCTTTTTCTCCTCTCTACCTACGTAAACTGTATCCTCTAACATCACCAGTGACCTCACCCGCATTTTGGGAGTCCGAGGCAGGAGGATCACTTGAGCCCAGGCATAGACAACGTAATGAGACCCTGTCTCTCAGAAAAAAAAAAAAAATGCCATGTGTGGTGGTACACACCTGTAGTTCCAGTTACTCAGGAGGCTGAGGCAGAAGGATCACCTGAGCCTAGGAGGCCGAGGCTGTGGTGATCTGTGATTGTGCCACTGCACTCAGCCTGGGTGACAGAGTGAGACTTTGACTCAGAAAAAAAAAAAGAAAATATCTTAGAGGAGGTAAATAGGGTGAATGATTGGTAAAAGATAAGTATATATTGTGTAGAGAATTTCTGAGGGCAGCTAAAGATAGGAGATTTTAGCTACTGTTATCTGAATAGAACTGGAGCTCAGATAAGAAAGTTTGTAATCATCAATGTAAAAGGTAATTAATTTTGTGACTTAGAATCTCTTAAATCACAATAAGAAAAAAAAACAGACTAAGAACAAGACTTTGATAAATATTTACAGTAATAATATAGGATGAAAAATGGGCATGTGATTCAGAGAAAGTGCTTATGAAGGAATCTACATACGAAGTATAGTGTCATGAAAGCCAGAGGGTAGATTATGGCCTTGTCATGTAATGGCCTTTCCTACCTCTCTGCTTCATTAAAATCATACTCATTCTTTAAAGCCTGAGGAATTTCAGTTTCCATGGTAGTTAATTTATTGCTTTTTATCTTTATCATTCTTTTGGTTATGATCTCTTTTCAGTACGATTGTCTTTCTTTGGCTAAGTCTGCAGCTTCTGGAGAATAAGTACTAGGTGATGGGCATCACTGTATTCCTCCTCAGTATCTAGCACATTGCTGGGGCACATAGAGTAGGGGTGAACAAAACTATCAAATAAATAATGACTTTAGAAATAATGTAGGTGCTTCCCAGAAATTCAGGGCACAGCTACAGTGGCAGCCTACTAAAGGTGTTCTGTAATGTGGCACATGATACTAATACTGTAGGCAGATTTGAGAGAATCCAAGGCCACGTTGAACCTAAAAGTCTGAACAAGGATCTTCATAATTTCAAAAGCCATCTCATGGAGATTTTTTTTCTGCTTCAGTCAGTTTTTAACTGCATGTTAACTCTTTTGGCCATTCTCTTATCATCTTGGATTTGGGGTCACACATACCCCTAGTACCCAATACTCACTCTGGCCCAGACTCCTTGATGGATAATTATAGCTCTCTGTACTATGAAAAATAAAATAGACTTAGGCAAATATACCTACATATATGTGTCAACTGCAAAGAATAAGTAATGAGTAGTTAGATGAGATGGGTAGAAAAGGAAGTAGGTGAGTAGGTAGGTAGGTGGAGGTTTGGGAATGAATTACTAGGTTGGTAAGTAGATGACATGACAAGAGGAAGCTACGGGATAAATAAGGACATGTTAGTGAAACTACAGTTAATTCAATGATTGAGATTAATGATAGCAAATAATATGAGGAATCAAAAAGAGTAAAGCATCTTCAAGTTTTTTTTCATTTTGACTTTGCTAGATACCATATTATCTTTTTTTGCAGCAGCAGCAAATTAACCATCCTAATTGTTTTGCCTAAGCTTATATTTAAATTAATGTACATTTCCATATACTCGAGTTGATGATGGTCATGGTGGCTTAAAAGACTGTCAAAAAATAAGTAAATTTGATAATTTCTACATGTACGATTGAGATTAAATACTATATTTAAACTTATTTTTCTGTATAGTTGCTTCCTAATTATTGATGGGCAGTTTGTTCATATTCTGAAATTTTTTGTGAATGGCTATATGTTACTTAAATGATTAGACATAATTACTCAGTATAGCAATTTTTCTATGAAAATATATCCTTTGAGTCTTATTTGTAACTCAAAGGTTTATTTTTCATTTTAGAAGATATTCAATTCATATTTTTATCTAAGGATTTGTGTTTTTTAAATTAATTCTCTTACCATTACTAGAACACTGGTTCATATTTTGCCTTTTTCATTTGCCATATTTATTTGAAATAGATACTTATGAAGCCATTGAGAGGGGAAAGATCTCCAAATCTACTGCCAAGTCATATTTGGAAAAACCTATTCAGTTTTAGCGCAAGAATCATTATGCAAAATAATAATTGTTAAAATAGAGTAATATACCCATTCTGAAATGCTTTTATCTACAAACATAATCATTATTTACCAGAACATACAGTACACATTTAAAACTACTTAGCTGCTAAGTGTGAAGTGTCTCTCTCTATTTTTTTTATTTTTTATTTTTTTGAGTCAGAGTTTCACTCTGTCACCCAGGCTAGAGAGCAGTGATACCAACATGGCTCACCGCAGCCTGGATCTCTTGGGTTCAGGCGATCCTCCTGGCTCAGCCTCCTAAGCAGCTGAGACCGCAGAGTGTGCCACCATGTCTGGCTAATTTCTTTGTTTCTTGTGGAGACGAGGTCTCACTGTGTTGCCTAGGCTCGTCGCGACCTCTTAGGCTCAAGCAAAACCCCACCTCTGCCTCTCGAAGTGCTGGGATGGCAGGTGTGAGCCACCATGCCAAGCCTTCTTTTAATACATAGGAATTAAATTCTTTTTTTACCCATTAACATGAGATACTTTTAATATTTATCTTTTTGTTCTTTATCTTTTTTTTGCTTTACTCAAAACATGCTTTTTCCTTTTTTGTCGCCTGCCCCAAACATGCTTTTTTAAAAAATAATTTTCGCAGGCAAAGTGAGGACCAAAGGGAACCCATACTTTACCTGTATGATGACCACTTATGTACCTAACCCTGAACCGTACCTCACATCTTTAAAATAAAAAATAATAATAATTTTCAAAGGACTTCTCAACTTTTACACGCTATGACCTATGAAAGCATTGACAAGCACTGCTGTAAGGCTAGAAGATCACCTTGTGGTGTTTGAATCTATCTTTAAAATCTTTAACTTTTATAAATGATTCACGCTGAATCATGAAATTTGTTATAATTATTATTATGAAGGAATGGTGAATGAATTAGCTTTTTGACAGCCAATAGATCTTCAGCTACTTATGATTAGTTCTTTTAATGACTTTAAGAAAAAAACCCAGCCTGCTACAGTCTATTTATTTCTAGAAACATTACTGAAAGCTTAATGTTAATTGAAGTTTAAATTATACTGTTTTCTTTGAACTTTATTGTCCTAAGTCAAAAACTTTGTACAAAAAATGTGTATTAGCTTAAGTATGAACAGAAAGTATCTAACACAAATATTTCTTGAGGCCTAGCAATTAAAATATAAATAAAATATGGTCCTCACCCTGAAAGAGCACAATATAAAGCAAGAAATGCTGAAAAATAGCATCTTAGCTCTATAAGCAAAGGACTAATAAAAAAAAATTATAATTGATTTTCATGACCTTGACTGGCCTAGAGCTAATCTCTCATTCCTCCTGGCGGAACTCAGTGAGTCAGGACTGCAACAAAAGAAAATTTAATAGCCCCCACTGCTACCTTTCAAGATAACTACAGTGAAGGAGGAGACTGCCTGCAGTAAGCAGTGTAGACAGCTCACATACTCCAAGCAGGGTCTCTGGCTAAGGGTACAACAAATTTACTTTAGCATGAATATAGGTTACAAAGTGTTAGGATATAGCTTTCTATATGTGACTACATGTGGCTTCTAAAGAGCATCTTCACAGCCTCAAGCCCAAGGAAAAGTAATTAAGATAATTTACAAGTAGTTAATTCAGCTGTTAACGGGGCTATTTGGAAAGAAGCTTTCAGCACATACTGTCATCATTACTTGCCAGTTCACTTATTTTTTTAGGTTACACAAATTTTTCCTCTGATTTCTTATGTTCCATCTTCCAATCCTAGTCTTTTAGTAAAATTTGAATTTGCTCTACTGCCAACTATAACACTCTTCTAGACTCCCAGGGGCAATGTCACAATTTCTTTGTTCCTTCTCTCCCTGAACCCACCCCACTGCTCAAAACCCATTTGAATGAAAAAAATATTCCTTAGTGTAGCTTCAAATCTGTCAGCATTACTTAATCTTAGTTTTTGTCCTTTTGCAGAGAAAAGGACCATAATTCTGAGTGGATTATCTCCTCTTTTTTGTTGGTCATGCCAATAATTCGACAGCATTAATGAAATTAAATAATCAAAAGTCATTTATTACTTTCTTATTGTTGGTTTCCTAATCATTTCACTTAGGCTTTGTCATGAAAATTGTTAGTGTTATTTTCCAAAGTGTGTTCCGTTTCCCACTTCAAAATAAACTCTCCTACATCAGGTACACACCCTGCAGTTACAGAGGAATGGAGGAGAGACTACCTCATGGCAGCATGTCGCGACTAACGGATCACTCCAGGCATAGTAGTTCTCATCGGCTCAATGAACAGTCAAGACACAGCAGCATCAGAGATCTCAGTAATAATCCCATGACTCACATCACACATGGCACCAGCATGAATCGGGTTATTGAAGAAGATGGAACCAGTGCTTAATTTGTCTTGTCTAAGGTGGAGAACGTGTGCTGTTTAAAAAGCAGATTTTATTCTTTGCCTCTGCATGACTGATTGCTGTAACTCATTGCTATCGTGCTTTCAGTCAGGTCCAGATTGTGTCCGTTGGAAAGGTAAATCTTTGCTTTTTATATTGCATCAAACTTGAAACATCAAGACATCCAAAATACTAAGGATTAAATCATCACAAAAATAATTCATCTTTCTAGGTTATGAAGAGATAATTATTTGTCTGGTAAACATTTTATAAACCCACTTCTTTTATATTTAGAAAAATCCTCAATATGTGGTGACTGCTTTGTAGTGAACTTTCATATAATATGAACTGGTTGTGAGATAACATTCTGGTAGCTCCGTTAATAAAACAAAATTTCAGAACTGAAGAGATTTTCTATGCAAGGTTATTTCTCAGATGAATAGTAAGACTTTGTAGTTTTATTTCCACTAAGCGAAAAAAAAACTTTTTAAACTGTAGGAGAATTTGATAAATCAGCAAGTTTATTAGCTAATAGAATAGCTAATCTATGTAAGGTTCTCTCAAAATTCTGTCAGAAGAATCTTCATCTAGAAATATTCAGGATTTGAATTAGTAATGGAATAAAATCAGAGATGGGTGTTTTTCCTTATAATTGTGCTGTTTTTATAACTTTTGTAAATATTACTTTTATTGGCTGTGTTTTTATAACTTATCCATATGCATGATGGAAAAACTTTTAATTTGTAGACATCTTTCCCATGTAATAGTATTAATTCATAGAGAACTTCATATTCAAGATCTGCTCCGTGGAGGCATGAAATAAGATAAGTATCACATATGATTAGGCTTTTTGTGGTAACCACAAGTACAGATTGGCAAAATATTTTCTCTGTATTCATTATTGTACTTTTCTACAGTGAAGTGTGATCTTGCCAAAGCCACCAGACATTGGTATCAAGGCCTTTCTATATAGTGAGTGATTGTCTGCACTTGCATTGCCCAGTAGCCAGTAGGCTACAGCTTTTGCCCCACGCCCTTATTTTCAGATTCTGAATCTTTCTTGTTTACAGTTGAAACATATATAACCTAAGTCCAAAGTGGTAATTAATTTGAGTATTTAAAAATCATTGTACCTAAATGAAGCATGATTAGTCTTACTATAAATATCTTTTCATCTTAAAAATATCAAGTAAAAAATGGTTGCTTTTTATCTTGTAATGTCTAAGTAATTTACAGTATAAGCTGTGAGCCTTATTAGATACGAAATTGGTCAGAAAGGAAAGAAAAATTCTGCAAAGTGCTGGATGTGTTATGTGAAAAAAAAGCATCTTAAGCAAGTGGTCTTCAGCCCTGACTGCAGAGAAGAATCACTTGATTTATGATGCCCAACTCCTTCCTCATTCAGAGGAGAATTCGTAGTTTTTAGAAAAAGAAAAAGCTTTTCAGGTGATTGTAATCTGCAACCTGACTTGAAACCCACTGATTCAGACTAACTTGTCCCTGATGATAATCTGATGGCATCATATTATATCATGTAACCATCTAGCTAGATTCAATCTTACCCTGTTATATCATTACTAATATTCAGTTATTCTCTCCTTTACTGTTCAGTATAAAATGCAGAATTCTGGGCCCCACTCCTAAAGAGTCAGTAAGTTGAAGGTAGTAGGGGACTTTAAAATCTGTATTTAAATACCACAGGTGATTCTTATGCAGGTAATCCAAGAATCACACTTTGAAAAATTATTCTAGACTCCAGAAAGGTGTGGCTCTACCTTATGCTAGTTTCTGACCTTTTCACATGTCAGCTCTCTGAGCCTCAGTTCCCTTGTTTGTAAATGAAGATAGGAGATAAATACCTACTCTACCTACCTCATAAAGTTGTCAAATTAAGATCAGATTAAAAAATCATATGAAAGCTCCTTGAAAACTGTAAAGCATTATGAAATATAAGGGATTAGGTTATTGTGGATTAGAGAGATTCATTTGAGGACTACTGTAATACATCCCTTGACATGTGTTGAACTCGTGTGTACTTTTCCTCCTTACCCTTTAAAACAAAAACTACCAAGAAATTGGATTCTTTTCATCAGACAGAAAAGTCAGTTTTCTGATAGGAATAATTTGTTTATCATGTATATTAGAAAGTACATATAGCTTAATATAAATTATTAATTCTCTACAAAACATATTTGCATATTCGACGAAAATGTTTTTCTTTTTCTTTTCTTCATTGCCTTTCTCCTTGAAACTGGAGAAAATGCTCAAGACAGACAGGGTCTGAATTCCCTTGTAACCCTTTTCTCTGAAGGCCAAACTTATAACAACACACTTATAAATAAATCAATAATTCATGAAGCTTTTGTCTGAGAATCTCTTCTGAGAGCAGCATGAGAACCAAAACAAACATTCACAAACAAAAATAAGTTAAAATAGAAGGTACCAGTTTGAGCTCAAAGATGTTGTCATCCATTGCCATCTGCATTATATTCTCAACTGCCAAAATGTTAATTGGTTTTCTTACACAAGTGGGCCAAGTATAGACAGTTAAGTGAACATCATTATGAAAATCTTAACTTTGTGCTTCCAGATTTTTATATATTCATTTGTATCTTCTCTATTAAATAATTTGTTGGTATGCATGTGAATACCATATTGATTTTTCAGTTAATTTCAGCAAGTATCATAATTTTTCTCTACAAAATTTATGTATGATTGCTAATCTGTTGTTTTAAACAACAGCATTTAGTTTGGCCTGTGTTATTTATCAGATTAGTGTTCCAAGTTAAGAACTGGTTTTTTTGAAGAGACAGTTGAAGAATTATAGCAAAAACAGCCTTTCACTTCTTAGCTAGCTTAAACTAATTTGACCAAGTCTGGACAGTTTTCCTACCATGTGCTTATCTTTGATTGGCACATGATAATGGTTAGTGTTTCTCTTGTTCAGTTGACCACCAAGAAAATAATTTTTCTTTCCAAAATATTAATGTATTACCAAAAAGTTTTCAAAAAGGACTTTGATTTCAGCAGTATTGTTTTAACAGTAATTAGACAAAAGAACCAACACAATATTAAGCTCAAAATGATAATTTATTTCAGAGAACAATTGATTAATAGCTCAGCTAGCACAGGTCTTGGTATATAGTAAGTATTCCAATAAATATTTAAACTGATGAACAACTCATGTCATGCAACTCGCTTTTACCCTAGTAGTGAATCTCACTTCAAAGAAATTTGAAACATCTAAATTTAAACTATGTGAAATGAAGTCTGCTTTACTAGAACAATGTGTGGCAAATAATAAGAAATATGTAAACAACACCAAATGAAGCTTATTTCTCCTAGAGTAACAGTCCTTATCACTATTTTAATTAAAGAGATGTATGTACGAACATGTATCAATCCCTTTAATTAATTTTAAAAGATAAATAGTCCTATAATTCCAGCTACTTGGAAGACTAAAGTGGAATGATTGACTGAGCCCAGCAGGTTGAGCCCGTGGTGGTCTTGAGCATGCCACTGCACTCCAGCCTGGGCGACAGAGTGAGACTCTTAACTCAAAGGAAAAAAAAAAGATAAACAGTGATTTTTAGAAGCAAGTAATTAGGCTCTTGTTAGTCTCATGCTAAGTTAGAGCTTTGTGTACCAGTTGGGTAAAATGAATATTCAAACAGACCTTTCTTTTTCTGTTGCTTCTGAGAGCAGATTTATAAAAATCCTAAGAATTTCTTCAAATTAGAAAAATTGCTACATTTTAACCTACCTCATCAGTTTCTTCGTGATAATAGCTGGAAATAAGTGAAATTGTATCCATCTTATTTTAAGCTATGACTCTGTGAAATAAAAGGAACTACTTATTTTTTTTGATAAAATAATGAGTCATTTGCTGGAGCTTAGGAAACGTTAATGTACCAGAATTTCATTATGATAATATTTACATTGCTTTCTGACATGCCAAAGGTACATTTACATATTATCATATTTGGATGACTTATACAGTCTAATGTAATTAAAATTCTCTTGCACTTGGAACTTGAAGACCTATAATGATGATGTCAACTGTACCAGTCATTTAATTTCTCTTAGTCTCTATTTATTCAATGTAAAATGAGGATAAGATAATTTTGGGTCCCAACCTACCTCCCTGGACATTGTGAGGATCAAATGAGATAACATTTACTATAATGCTCTGTAACTCATAAATTGTTCTACTTGATACCATTTGTTAGAATTTGGGGGTTATAGAAAGCAAGAAAATAGTCTTCACGAGTATTTATTTTTAGCAAGAACAGTAAAATAGGCAATTAGACTAGCATTCATTTGGTATAGTCTTTAAATCAGCCATCAAATTAACCTTTAAAAATTAGGTTCTTTTTCAAGAGTAGCTGTGCTCTTAAAGTGTACTGGCTCTCTAATATATGTTATACCAGAGTTTGCTCTCAAATTTTATATAGTTGAATTTGTAGGTCACTTGCAACAGAAATTTGGGGATTTCCATTATCTTTTTCCTTTTATATGGAATTTAGCTTGACTTGATTGATATTGACAAGAAAAATATAAAGAGGAATGTAATAGGCCCTATAACTTTTTTTTTCTTTGAGGACTTTTATGTACCTAATTCTTTCTGATTGAGAACAATTTTTGAAAAGATGATTGCTATAGTTATTGGTTTTCATTATGGCAAACTTTAAATCTTAAGTGATGATATGGGAATTGTTTGTATAAATATATTTATAATTTTTTAGCCTGTGTAAAGTAATAATTTTTTCTTCATTCTTCACACACAAAAACAGAAAGGATGGCATTTTTATAGAACCTAGATTTACAAAGGAACTCATGATTCTTTTAAAGTTTTTTACTGCCTTTTTTACAACTGATTTAAATAAGTAAAAGTGTTTACATTTAATTCAGCTGGGTTTTCCAGTAGCTGTATAATTTTATACATTACTCTTACATAGTTTTGATCTATTTTATATGAAAAGATTGTGTTGGCATCTCCTCATAATTTAATTCTCTTCCCTTCTTTTTTTGTTCCAGTTATATGAGTTTGGGAAAGGAATAGGAAGACTAAGCATCCTTTACCTTCTGTCTGAATGTAATCAGTCTCCTAGGTTGCTTATCTAATTTAATTTCAATCCTATGTTTCTGTAGTGATCAAATTGATACAGGGTTATAATTTTCTCAATAGATTCAAATCTTAAGGTCTATCCAGAACCAGCCGTCTTTGCAGGCATTCCTATTTGGTTGATTTATAAAGATATAATATTTGTTAATAACCATATTTCTTATTCTGTGTTCTCTTAACTAGAAAGTAAAATTGTGTTGCCATAAGTATAAAAGAAAATAAAGTTTTTGCTTATATTTTAGTTAAACCCCAAACCAGTAGTATATTACTTCCTAT